CCACACACACAAAAAAAACACCTTTTTTGAGACAGGAACACAAGACGAACTGATAACAGCTGGTACTGCACCCAGTGTTTAGCAACACTGTGCTTGTTGTTGTCATTATTATAAAGAAATGACAGAATGGTAACAAAGACTGGAGGGATGCAGTTTTTTCACAGCCTGCTTCAATGTCTTTAGTATGCAGGATAAATTCAGCCCTAAATCCCTTTACAGCAGCAGTCAGACAGTTCATCATTTTTGTGGACCGAATTGATCGGTGCTTCATCAACTAATGACCTTCAGTTTGCACTGGTTTACTTTGAAGCCAAGTGCAAAGTTCCTGAGTGGAGAATTTGCAGCCACCACCTTCAGGCGATGGTACTCAACGAGTAAAGTCCCCTAACGAACGAGGTGATGTTGGGAAGAGTTTAGATCATGAGTGAGGGAAACGTGGTGACAGTCAAACCTGCAGCACTTTACTGCTGAGTTGTGGCAAAGAGAGAGGTGGCCATGGAGACAGGGAAGATCAGTAATTAAGCTAATGTGCTGTTTGTAAGATTGGAAAGCTGCAGTCAGCTGAGACTGGAGAAGGCACCCGATGATGATGAAACCTTTCTCCCACTGAAAACATCCAGATGAACAGAATCAACTATTGGTGAACTCTGTAGTGTGACTGTTTGAGTACATTGTGGCAAAGATGCAGAAGGAGATGGTGAAAGCAGCAAACTGTACACTGAGTAACCAGCATGCCATCCTCTCTGTGGTCAACTGGTCATTGTATTGGACTCTGCTTCACGTTGATTCGTCATGTTACTCATTAACATTGCAATTGTTCAAAATCTAACAGATGGTATCACTGAATGTATAAACGGGATTGAATATTATACAGTGTGGTGAGTATGACACCATCTGTAATGTGTTGCTTTTTGTAAATGTGTTGACACCTGTGACTGATTTGGACCAACACAGTGATCGGGTGACGTTTCCTTTCTGTGTACTTCATTTGCACACGCTTTTTGTTCCAGCTTTCCAGCTGACTCCACCCTCTCCACTCTGGCCCCCGGCCTCAATAAATAGAGGAGAGACTTCATTAGACTGATTACTTCCACCTGCCGGCACTGCCCCATGAGCCACGCCTACCCTTCAGCAGAACTGAAGACCACACCCCTGCCACGCCCCACACCGCCCGACGGAGGCCGGGGCGGCTTCTGGCCGCTGTGTGGCACCTCCACTGTACAACCATATAACCTTATAGTCAGCGTCCCCCCATTTGCCGTGTGACCGCGAAGGATCCTTGCCACTTGGCGAGTAATTTCAAGCTAGAAGAAGAGAGTAACACAGGCACTTTGTCTCCAGGTGAACAATTCCCAGGAGGTGCAGGATGTACTGAATCTGGTTTATAGCCAGGCTTGGAACTTCCTCCCAGTTTTCTTTAATTAAGCCCCCCCACGGCTTCCTGCCCAACAGTAACTGAGAAAATCCTGTGGAGGCCTGGGGCACCTCCCGCACTGCAAACAACAGAGGGTTGCATTTATCCTCGTCAATGAACTTACTAATCATGGACTTTAAAGCCTTGTTCAGCTGCTTCACCAAGCGGTCAGTCTGCGGGTGGTAGACGCTGGGCCGAGCACATTTCATCATTCACACGGGTCTCTTAGTGCGCGAGACATGAACGACCTGCCGTGGTCAGTCAGTATCTCTTTCTGGGATGCCGATGATGACCTGAAACACGGCTTCAGGGTGCACCAAGTGACCATCAGTTTTTATCATTTGTTTGAAGGCTGAGTGTAGGGTTGTAGGGTGTCATCATGACACATGAGATACAACCCGGACAGCCCAGCATCACCGCTGAGTGCCACGCAGGCACTACACGCTACCAAAGGTCCACTCTGTCTCCAATAAGACTTGTCTAGAGTAGCTACCGGTCTCTTGGACTCTCCTCCACGCTCTTGAGACTGTGCTGGGTGATAGGTTTGTAGCATAAACCTAGTCGCTGGAACGTTAAGGACAATTTAATTACACAGCAAAGCAAGACACGAGTAGGCAAAGTTCTTCATGTTTCTCGTGCACGGGAGAGAACCGGACAAACGCCGTTCCTTCGCTTGACCCCAGTTGCTCTCGTCTGCTCCCCTGTAACACTGCTCTTTTATTGAGGTTACATGAATATGCATAGGTTCATTAACATACAGTGTGTGACCCCATAAAGACTTCCCTAACCCTGCTGGTCTGGAAGTCCAACAGTTCATCTAAACAAAAGGCACTTAGCCTAAAACAGACATAGCCACGTTTATCCTGCCATAAAACAATAAGAGCAGGTACCCCCTCTCCCACGCTCCCAGAATATGGGTGTGAATGCCAGAGCCCTCTGGAATGCACACCAAGCCTTTGCAGACTCCTAAAGATCACACATTCCCATCACTACACAATCGATTATACACCTCTAAGCATATATGGTTACCGTATTTCCCGGACTACAGAGAGCACCTGAATATTAGCCGCACAAGCTAAAATCAGGGGAAAATCCTGTTTTGTACATACATTAGCCGCACCTGACCAAAAGCCGCAGGTGTTTCAATGTTGACTTATCATATGTAAGAGAATATGCACAAAGCGAATCAGGAAAGAGATGGCTGTTTGGAGACACACCCCTTTTATTAATATTTTGAAAAACAAGTTATGGGTACATATTTGCATAACTTTTTAGGTATATGTACAAGTAGCGGTAATTACAAGTAGGAAACATGTACTGTGCTTCATAAACGAGTAATAAATGTAGTACATAACAATAACCTGCAGCACACCAGAAAAATAGATTCGGCCTACCTTTCAGGCTCAGGTGCAGCGACACAGCTTCAACAAGAAGAAAAGTCAGTCATTCACCATCTTTCTCTTCTTCCTGCGCACTGAAACCACCAAAGTCCTCTTCTCCAGTGTCGGATACAAACAGGCTCAGGGTGGCTACGTCATCCACTCTCCACTTCTCTCTTTCGTTGTCACTTTCAAAACCAAAGAAATCCTCGCTGTCAGTGTCAGAGTCGAACACCCTCTGAAGGGCCGTGGCGGTGTCCTCCTCTCCATCACGCAGCAGTCCAGCCCTTCGAAATCCTTTGGTGATCATGGATGTTTTCACACTTTTCCACGCTGTCAGAATCCACCGGTGGAGTTGAGCATAACTTGCTTTTCGCAAGTTTATCGCCGCTCATCATCCACGCCTCCCGCTGAACACGTAGCGCTACTTTGAAGTTTGTTTTTCGCACTACTTGTAGGGCACTACGTTGCCTGGCGGACGGACACGTGACCAACATACCACTCTTGAACCCCGATACTGTGTGTCTGATTACGTTGCCTGGCGGAGGGGCATGTTGTGCTGTACAACAGCGGAACAAACAAAACAAATCGTCTTACGATATGACAAAAATCATGGACAATCCATAGAAAAGCCGCACCTGACTAAAAGCCGCAGGGTTCAAAAGCTTGTGCAAAAAGTAGCGGCTTATAGCCCGACAATTACGGTAAATATTTCTAAGCATAAATGACAATCAACAATATAAATGTAACACTGGGAGACAAACCTTCCTGCCATCCTGCAGCTGTTAGACTGCCTGAGCATCCTCTGCAGGGTCCAGGTATCACCTCATGCTATCAGCACTCACACCGATTCTAGCCAAATTCAGAACTAGTAAAAATGAGTCAGAAAAGATGAGAAGGTGGCGTGCACCTGTGAAACTGGTATTATTTTAACCTTTCTTTGTGCCTAGATTAAACCCTGAGATGGACTCTGGTCTAACTACAACAGTATGTGGTTTTGGGTTTAGGTGGAGTCCACCCAGAGCATGATCAGGATTCTGGGACTGTCTGCTACCCTGCCTAACTATCTGGATGTGGCCACCTTCCTACATGTCAACCCATATATTGGTCTCTTCTTCTTCGACGGACGCTTCAGACCAGTGCCTCTGGGACAGACCTTTGTTGGCATCAAAACCAACAACAAGGTATGAACATTTAAGAAGTCTTTGGATGTACAGAAAAATAGGACTGGTAATGTTTAGAAGTGCTAAGAGCTGTGATTGTATCCTGTTCACCGTGCTTCCTGTTCAGATCCAGCAGATCCATGACATGGAGGAGGTTTGTTATGACAAAGTTCTGGAACAGGTGAAGGCAGGTCACCAGGTAAGGGCTTTTCTGTGTGTTTGACCCGTGTGTGTGGGCTTTGGTGGGGACACAGGATTCATCGAGCCTGTGTTATACTGTGTGTAACCCACGGACTGAGCTCCGCCTGAGGCATCCAGTCTGAACGTGTATTTGTAGCATCTCTCAGCTCTTCAGTGCCCGCGCTCTGTTGAAGAGTCATTTTTTCTGCATGCATGTACTTCCTGATTGCTTTAGCCCTAAAGCCCAGCAGCATGCATGCTTCCTAACACCACCCGTGTGGAGTGATGTTGGTGTAGCGCCACAATCTTTTCCTCCCAAATATTTCCCTGAACTTTTTCATGAATAGCAACCGTGCTGCAGTAAATATTTTGTGTGAACCTTTTGGAATGAACACCTGTTATCTAAATTCTCTCAAGTCCTTATCTCCCCCGGTTTTACCTCCCCCTCCTTCCCCATCCACCCACCCCCTCCACTCATTCTGCTTCCACTCTGCAGCCTGTTGGGAACAGGAGAGCTGTGAATTCAGACTTTACCGTTTAGCTTCCATCTGCTGCAGGAGTTGAGCAGCCTATTGAGGACTGTTGTTATCCTGTCTGCATCTTTTTTCCAAGCGCGCCCACATACACGCTCCGGTTTTCCGAGCTTCCCCCTCTTTGTCCGATTGCTTCCCTCAGAGGCAAAGCTGATATGAACTTTTCTGTAGTCTCTGACACCATGTAAGCCGGTTTGATTGTCCAAAACATGAAACGTGCTGCGCACATGTGTTTGTGGTTGGACGGTTTCACTGCTACAGTCTAGAGCTTACTGCTCAGCCAGCGATCCTTCTTCTTCTCTCAGTAATGAATTGTCAGGAAGTGGCTGTGACATATATTAATTGACGTGATTTTCTTTAAGACCCCCCCAGGCTCGCCGAGTGTCTCACTGCTCTGTTCGAGCTGAACTCAGCGTGGCTGTAACAGTGCAGCGAGATTACTAAAGCGTCTCTGTATCACTGGGCTGTGTTAATATTCTGGTGTGTTGAAGCCGTGTGTTTGTGCCCAGGTGATGGTGTTTGTCCATGCTCGTAATGCCACAGTGAGGACGGCCATGGGGCTCATCGAGATGGCGAAGAACCGTGGAGAGATTTGTTTCTTTCAACCAGACCAAGGGTCAGACTACGGCCAGTGTGAGAAACAGGTAACAAGTGTCCACACATCGTTTCATGTGATCGTGTTCAGCGAGAACCTTCAGATACATGCATGTGGCTGATTAAAGACAGCACAGCGCTGTCAGGGTGTGTGATGAGGTATTTTTAGATTCAGCATTTTCACAGCCTGGAGGATCAAGTGGGGCAAACCTGCAGAGCAGCACATCACACGTTATGGAGGAATGTTTTGCAGACTAATTGGAGAAGAAAAGTGACGTTCCTCATTTTATTCCAAGACAAATACTTCATGAGAACAAACAGGAAAAGGCAGCAACACTGCCAGGAATGATTAAAGAGCTGCAGGTTTCACTGGTAGATTGATTAGTGATTAGTGCGCTGCTCGCACACGAGCCCAGAGCCTAATGCAGTAATCGGGTGTGTCCGGTTCCCTAACACTGAGACAACTAGCTCTCTAACAAACTTGGTTACAGACTTTAGGGCAGTTAGAGACTTTGAACCTGCAGACAGGAAACCACATTGTGTGTGTTAGATGAATATAATGCAAACAGTTTGCAACAGAGACCAGGGGGCTCCACACGCCCGGCTGTGGGACGCCGTCTGGCAACCATGAGGTAATATATAGAAGCACGGGTTTCATTTTCCCTCAACACTGTTTAGCTTTGACACCATAATGCGTGCGAGCGCAGGCGTGAGGGTGGAACACCGATGGCGTGCGTGCGTGTAATTAATGGTCTTTGTGCTGTGAGGGTACACAGAGGTGGAGCTATATTTTCCCTCCGAGGACGGTCAGTCAGATGCCAAGTCCCATATTTAAATCTCCTGCCTGGGAAGGCAGAGTGATAAATTTAGTAACCTTTTCCTCTGTTCCCCGGGGCTCAGCCAAGATTGATGTGTCTCTAATCTTCTTTCTATTTAAATGGGTTATGTATACAAATCAGATCACTTTTCATGCTTTCTAAAACTGGAAATAGCGACGAGAGATTACGTCGGGGGACTGAAGCGATGCGCTGTGGCCTGGTTAGTCTTTGAAGCAGTACTTAAAAAGCAATTGTGTAACTGTTCCTTTAGTTTCTGTGCACGCAGGAAGTTTTATGTGCACCAGCTGAAAATGGTTTTGCCTGTGTCCCAACATAATGAGTATTATCCGTTCCATTAGTTCATCTTTGAGTGTTTGTCAGTCAGACTTGCTCTGGTGAAGGAAGGGGCACGGGGCTGACTCGACTCTAAGCCCACACAGAGATAATGCACTGCTTATTTGCACACTGCAAATTGCCCCACATTAATATTTATAGGTGTTTTTTTTAATCTCCAATATGCATATGTGGTGAATAAAGCCCCTATAAGGTCAGACGTATAATCAGCGTTTATTTATCCAGCTTTAAAAGTCGCTCTGTTTTCCCGTCTCCCGTCTGTATTATTTAATTGGCTTTATCTGGGGTTTGGAGAGGCTGTCAGTCAAGCTCGATATCTGAATGTGCCACTACAGTCTAATCTAGTTACACAGGACGTGTGGTGTGCTCTCGAATGAAAAGAGTCTTTTTAAAGAACTACTTTAGACCCGTGCTGTTGGATCGAGTGTGTATTCTTGGCTTTACAGTTCTATGTTCTGAAACACGAGGTGTGCCATCGTCTCACTAAAATAAAGAAGAGCTTCCCTGAAGAGACGTCGTTTAACTCTCCTCAGAAAGGATCATTTACTCGTGTCTCCTGTTCGAGCTTCAGCGAGTCAGCTGTTCGATCCACACTGATGCTGGGAGTGAACAGGGCCAGATCTACAGGCGTTGCCTTTTATTAAAAACACATATGCAGGTGTTACATGTGGTTCAAATGATTCAATGCAGTCAGTATACACACGTTTCTATAACTGGATTATTTTCCATAATGAAACATCTAAGTTAGATAACACACGCACATGTGTGGAGCCCAATAAGTATCAAATGCAGAAAGCTGCACAGCATGGGCGGTTACTTACAAACACAGGGATAACTGAAGTTTCACTTTGTTAGAAAACATCAAGTTGTTGCTTAAATTTACACAAAATGTCAGAAATCTTGAACAGAAATGTAAACCTCCTTTTTCAGGATGTGTTGGGTTCACCCTCTGGGGAGCTCGACCGCACATTGTTGCTCCTTTTTTGTATGTTGTTTGGTCTCATTTCATCAGCTCAGTGTGAATCTACACTGATTGTTTCATCGTCATGCTGCAGTAACACAACTGATCTGAAATCACACAAAAACATCAAATCCTGGTAGTAGTTTAGCCCACAGACATGTTGAGTGAATTGTTTTAATAACTTGGATTACAAACATAAACTGTGAAATTTGAAAACGTATGAACATTAAATTCATAGAACAACTATTTATCTAAAAATGCAGCCAGCACATCTGACATCTTTAACATTTTCTACAACCACTTAAAACTATTACAATAACTAAAGTGAGAGAACAATGAGATGCACCACAAATTATTTGTGCCAGTAAACAAAAGTTTGTTTCTGTGTTTACTGTTGTCACGCTGTCCTTTTTAAACCCGTCCTTCTGCACTAAACGTGACGTATTTAGAAAAAAGCATGGCTCACATATATTTTTAATCATAGCTCTGGATTTAATGGCCTGTCAATAAAATTTAAGAACTTGTATATCCTCTGAAGTCCCAACTTTCAGCACTCATGAATCCGAGACTCCGTGTGGCTGCAGCTTGTTGCTGTGTTAGCTTAAATCAGTGTGATTTGGAGGTGCGGCGTGTCCGTGGACCCCAGAGGGTTAATCACTCTCACCTTCAGTCCATTTACAGAGCGTAACAACCACCTGTGTCAAGTCTGAAATGCCCTTGGTGTTGATTCAAATGTGCTCTGGCACAATCAGAAGCATGTAATATATTCAGTGTTATGTAGCCAGGCTCAAAGTGTTAATGCTGTCTTATTTTAATAAACAACACTGTCATATGCAAAGCTAGGGTGGCACATGCCACCCCATGCCCCCCTCTAGATCCGCCCCTGGTAGTGAACCTAATTAGTTTTCAGACGTTGATTTTTTGCATACACTTCATGTGTTACAAATATTTGGAGCCAGCTGTTACTTTGTTCCTGATATTGTCCTGATATAGAGGCAAATTAAAACAAAAAAACTCTGTTTCCACTTGCTGGCTAATGTGCGTTTTGACTTTTGCTGCCATGATGCCAGGTCAGATTTTTTTACCTGGATAAATGACGGACTAATAAAATGTAACCAATATTTACAGTTTATTCTGTCTGTATGTTTTCATAATTCTGGTGAGTTTCTGGATAGGGCTCCATGTTTATGATAACAACATGAGATATGCTGGGATAACGTGCTTTACTGCAGAAACATGACATATTTCTGACTGATAGACACAAAGTCTCCTGATACAGCTGAATCTCAAACATGGGTAAAGGTGCATTTATTAATGATGTTGTGCTGTAGCAGAGTGTGAGTGAGGATGATGAGGGAATATGTCACCCTGCAGTTTACTGAGGAGTTTGGAGAATATCATCTACAGATGGGTTTATTAGGCTCATCGACTCTCAGTTCTCTTCTTCAGTAATAATATACAGTGTTGTAGACAGTACTATGCTGTGCAGGAAGTGTTGCTGCCACGTTGTCAGTTTTGAAATCCATCACTTGATAAATTGAAGTATATGAATCACAGATTAGAAGAAACATGTTTGAATAGACAATAAATGAGTTTGCAGCATAAGCTGTGCAGGAAACCTGAAGCTCCCACCTGAGAGGAGTCAAAGCCTCTCTGACTTTCATTTGCTCGACTTTGACAGTCCGCACTCTCTCCCCTGCCCCCCCCTCTGCGCCCCCACCCCGTGGTAGGAATCCAGCTGTGAGACATGAAACCGTGTGGCTGCTTTCAAAGGGAAGCAGAGTTGTTATGGAGGATAAGAGCCACCTAGTGGCCCCGTGAGTCCATTACACTTATTCTACAGACCCGTCGTGTTTTCTGACACAGCGGGGGCGTAGCACCCCTTTCACACTGTGGCCAACAGTGGCCAGCTCGGCATGCCGGAGCAGTGTTTGTCAAAGCATACATTCACATGAACTGAGGGACCAGATCACTGCTAGAGAACAGCGAACGAGTGTATCGGCTTCTCTTTGAAGCTCGCTCTTCTCCGGCCTTCAGATGTGCTGCTTCCCTGTCACTTTGTTTGACAACATACACAGATGCAGACACACTCACGCCTCTGAGTGCGAAGCCTCCAGGGACTCTACAGCAACACCCGACTGTGCTCATTAATGTCTCCATTTTCTTTCATTTGGTGCTATTTTTACAAGTCGAGTCCACTGCTGCTGCTTTCGTAGTGACAGATCTGTGACAGCCTGTCACTGTGCCCAACCAGTTACCCACTGCAGTGATCAACAACAAAGAGCCGCACCTGAAACGCTGCTGGAAGCAGGAGTGACACCGTGGACTGACAGCACGGAAACAGCAGCCTTAAAAACAAAGGCAGCTTTGTCCAGCAGTGCTTCTGTAAACGCCTCCTCTGTTTGCAGCTCATCTGCAGTCTCATAGCCTGAGGGAGCAGCCTTGCATGCTATCATGGCACAGCATAGCAAGTCCGTTTTCCTGTTTAATTGCTTCTTCATCAGCATTTAAACAGCTGACTGGAGTGTTCGCTGTTTTGCTGTGCCACCTCCAATGTTCAGGAACAAAGGACCAGGATCATATTTGTCTTCAAGCAACATTTATTTTTCAGCAGTGCTGAAACCCGTGGCCTGGGGGGGGTTAACCCCTGATGGACGTGACTCACTAACAGTGTCTGTAGTTTCATTTGAACGGAGAGAGCATCAGCCGCAGTACACACAGAGGCACATTTTCACGTCATGCAGTGAAATGAGTATTCGATCACCAAGCAAAACACCACTCGGTGCAACCAGTAGCCTTGTGGGTGAGCATAGTGGTGAGATGTATCCTGTAGCAGGTCATCAGCCCTGCTCAGATCTCAGGAGAGCGTTCCTCTACATCCACCTCTGGCACCTTGAAGCTTCAGGTGCCAGAGGTG